TTAAATGCCACGTTAATCCAATTTAATGAATTTTAATGCCAATTAAGGCCTTAATTTAAAAAATAATAATTTAATGTCTTTTAATGACCTGCGTAAGCCTTGATAATTTATCATTAATTAAAGCAGGTTTAGTTTTCCTCCAGAGTATCTCTTATTAGCAGCATTACTTCTCTAATAGTGAAGCCCCATAGATGACCTTAAAGGTCAGGTTTACCTTGACCTGTCTGTCTCTCAGCAGCTGTCTCACAGCCTTGTCTTTGTCTCCTCCCGCTGCCAGCCAGGCAAGTTTGGCCTCTGCTCTGGACAGCTTCGTGTCGCCGTCGCCGGCATTCAGCTCCGGCGGCGCCCCGTCTCTTTCCACCGAGTGCTGAATCCTGCTGCCCCCCACTCTGTAGTTGGCCTGGACGGAAGCGGCCATGGCGCATATTTCATCCAGCAGGTGGGGGAGTTCAGAGGTCAGCCAGTCGCAGGGGTTGACGCTGCTGCTGCCGCACATGCTCAGAGCGGCGTACACCTCCTCGGGGCTGACTCCTCGTTTTTCTGCCTCCTGCAAATCAAACAGATTCAGTCTTCTCTTCAAAGCAGATTTCAATTATTTATTTGTTTAAATCTACATCATTCAGTTGATCCTACTTTGATCTGGTGGATGAGTGCGAGGCCATCATCCCTCATCATCTTCTGCCTCCTATGATCCAGAGTGGCTCTGGGCTTCGGCTGAGGCGTCCCGCCCAGTTCAGGTGGCTCCTTGGTGAAGGATGGTGGTTGCTGAAGAGAATGGCTCCCAGAAGCCCTGGGCGAGTCTTTGGAGGGCAGGCTACACATCTCGCACACCGCCGAGGGCTTGGAGTTGACGAAGGTGCAGAAGTGGCAGGTCCACTGACAGAAACCAGAATAAAAGAGGAGGAGTTAAATAACAACAGAGTGCAGCAGGAAATGAGCAACAACATGAGTTTTATTCTTTTTAATTAGCAGAAGAAACTGAATGCTTTATCTTCTGCTCTGTATCAGTGACTTTGTTTTGTATGAAAGTGTTTGATTCCTCCAGAGCTGTTATTTCGTTTTGTTTTAGAAATCTGGAGGTTTTTCCTGCCTGGTTCCTGTGATGAAAACTCTTTAAATGTTGCTTTCTTTCTACCTCCCCACATACGTTCCTCACCAATGTTCTGCCATGTCCTGTAATGTGTAAAAGCATGTGATAACTCCGCTCGTTGCAAATCCACTACTGCTGTGGTGAGCCGCGTCTTGAGTGCTGCCTGCCTTCAGATAAACTTAGACGCAAGATGGATCTTCTCTTATTTTATTGAACCAGCGTCTTACTTCTCTGATAATTACATTTCCATAACAAGAACTATAATGTTTTTTTCTTCTTAATTGGTTTTATGATAAAACACCTTTTATCATAAAATTGTAGATGCTTAAATAAAGAGAATTTTTGCTGCATGCTGCTCATCTAAGGATAAACAGCATTTATCAAAATTATATAACTGAATGTTTATATTTATATATGTGTGCGAATGTGTATGTATATGTGTAGGTATGTTTACAGGTGTAAGGTTAGAATGTGTTTTATATTTGTCATATATCACGCCCGCAAAGTCCACAAAAAACGTGTCAATATTCCTCCATACTGCTCGTCCAATGTATTCCAAGTGTCCTGAGTGGGTAGCATCCAGAATTTACTCGAAACGAAGTCATTTAGAATGTTTTTAGAGCATAAACAGTAGTGTATAGGATTTCTTGAAAGCGCGCACATGCGCGTTCACGACGCTACGGAAGCCGGCAGACCAAACCAGATGAAAGTGCGCATTCAGCGTCTGCTCTGCCAATAATGCAAGCGTAGAAGAAGAAATGTGCTGTTTACCTGTGCAAAGAAAGAAACAACGAAAGAAAAATGTCTGAGGACTTCAGTGTTGAGGAAGAGCATGAGTTCTTTGCCGAGCTGAATGCGCTGGTTTGGTCTGCCGGCTTCCGTAGCGTCGTGATCGCGCATGTGCCCGCTTTCAGGAAATCCTATACACTACTGTTTATGCTCTAAAAACATTCTAAATGACTTCGTTTCGAGTAAATTCTGGATGCTACCCACTCAGGAAACTTGGAATACATTGGACGAGCAGTATGGAGGAATATTGACACGTTTTTTGTGGACTTTTATGGACCTTTCTGTCTCGGTCACCATAGACCTCCATTATTTGAATGTCAGCAGACAGCAAGAAGCCTCCCAGATCTCCAGATGCATTTGAGATATCAAAAAAGTACTCCAGAGTGTTGTTCAGCATGGGAGTGAGTAGAAAATGAAGGCTAATCATGTTTTGGGTGTACTATTCCTTTAAAGGGCAAAAAAGGTTTTTCTTTTTGATTGCAAAATGTTTATATAGTTATCATCATTTCTGCATAATTACTGCTCTGAGTGGGTTGCTTTCATAGCTAATAGCTTGTTTTAGAATCTCCATAACCCAGGTAATGGTTAACTGATTACTAAATGAGTTGGTTATTTAATGATAAATGAATCAAATAAACTGATTAATTGTTTCAGAGCTAAACAGCTGATGCAGATACAAAATAGCTGCAAATATTGGCATGAATAACTGGCCTTGGTTATGTATTTGTCCATCTCTAACATATACCCATATATAAAAAAAAAGGAAAAGTCTATACTGATACTGATATGACACATAGGAGTCTGCAGCATGGTTGTAATATTCAGCTGATGAACAGTGTAGAACAAGAAGTTTATCTCCCATCATCATCATTCAGAAAGTCAGATCTCAAATAAACCAGAACCTGCTAATAGATGGAGCGAGACATTTCAACTTGGTAGAACCTTCAAGACTAAATAAAAACAGTGTTTGCTCTGCTTGGACACACATTTGCAATTAAATCTCTGGATTTTCCTTAACATTTAACTCTAGTTAAACATATTTCCAACAGACTGAAGACTGATATTCAAAAACAGATGCAGCGTCAGGCCTAAGGGATCCCCATAAAGCCATTCAGCCTGCAGGGTGAACAGAAAAGATAAAGGAGGCTGTATCATCAGCTCAGGGACTGACCTTTGATCCAAACTCTGGCGCTGGGAGGACAGGCGGGCGAGTGGCCAGACGGGGGCGCTCACACACCTCGCAGAGGATGCTGCTGCCTTGGTTCACCACTGTGCAGCTCTTACACTCCCACTCTGAGGGGATGGAAAAAACAGCCGGGTCACATGATAGCATGTTATTACAGCGTGGAAATAAATAAAACACTCTGTCCTAGAAAGCAGCTTCTCTGTAGGAGGATCCTGAAACATACAGGGTGCAGTGCAGAAATGTCAGGTTATGTCATTTAAAACAAAATCTTTATCCAATTATAAGGTAACATTTATCCTGTACAATTGAACTAAAAACAATTTATATCTGGGTAGTACAAGAGGAAGGGACACAAAAAAGAGACCTATTTGCATAATATACCCCCTAATTTCCTTGCCTAGTTTTAGTCTTAATTTACTCCTCTTATCAATAAAAAATAAAAAATAAATTAGAGACACTGATTAACATGAGGTAAAACCCAGTTCCATCTACAGCGGGGGTCTGCACCTTTTAAAACCAAAGAGACATTTTTTTCAGGGTCCAGCTGAGAGAAAGTTTTTTAGAGCCACAAAGGTTATATAAACTTTAAATAAAAAACAACTTATCATTTTTGTTGAAGATCGAATGGAGGAAAAGTGTTGCCATTTTAAACAAACAACAGTTTGGTTTTATGCTTAACTTTTAAAATAAGGAAAAACATCAAATGTTTCCTAAAGATGAAACATGGATTTTCTTCTATAGGATACTATTTTCTGTAAAAAAAACAAAAAACTAAAGCTTCTATGACTTGTTTTTGTTATAATACTACAATAGTCATTTAATTATATCATATTAGGCCACTATTAAGAGCAGGGCTAAAACAATTAATCGGATTAACTGTGATTAACTGATTATTGAAATAATCGTTATACTCCAATTAACGATTAATCGATTACTAAATTAGTTAAGGACTGTAAAACATGCCTTTAGTTGACAGAGCGACCTGCTTAGACCAGTAGTTATACCAAAATTGTTTAAAAAAAATATATATAAACATTTTGCATTTAAGATCAAACTTTTTCAGATGTCAATATGCTCTATCCAGAACTCCTCAGCTGGAAAAGTTTAAGAATCACCTGGTTTAATTTTGTAAAAAATCTTCTTTAAGGAACCTTTTTCTGTCAAAAAAAAATAAACGGCAGATTAATTGATCTCCAAAATAATAATTAGTTGCAGCCCTAATTAGGAGTAGGTGCAGAAGAGCCACTGGTAGCAG